AGCAGAGCCAGGACCTGCCCCAGGGGCTGGCTGCAGGATCTGCTCCAGCTCTGCCGCCGCTCAGAGCTGACTCCTGAAACCGTAGCCAGGAGGGCCCATGCTTGGCGCTGCCGGCACTGGGAAACAAGCCGGCGCTTCCCTTGGGGACGCTCTGCGAGACATCGGCGCTGCGAGGAGGGGAGCAGAGCAGTAACCTGTGCCGCGTCTCTGCGTTGCAGGTGACGAAACGAAGCTGCAGCACGGCTCCTCCCCAGCCCCTGTGGCGCCGCTTTGGGCATCCTGGTCCTCTGCGGGATGGCCCCGACATCCCGGTGGGTTTCGGGTGCTGCACACAGGAGCCATGCGCAGAGAGGTGGCAGGGGAAGGTTGGCTCTAGTTCTGTATATAGAAATTATTTAAAGATGGCTAATGCAAATCCTCCTAGGGATTTATTCCCTGCCATCGAGTTGCATATAGGACAGAGGTTATTTTAACATTACACAGTTTTAAATTATTGGAGTGTTTTCAGGTGATTAGTGCAGCTGACATTGGAAGAAATAGGAAAATAAAATAAGACGTTTACTTGAAGGTTAGGAGCAATACGAGTCCACAATAATAAATGCATTTTCCACAGGGCTGATGCTGTACATACTGTACACCAGACGCACGCGGTAGCCACTGGGGTGGGTGCACGTTTTAAGCGGGTGTTGGCGACCCTTGCCCGAGCGTCAGGGAGCCAGCGGCAGTCCCCTCTACACTACATTTCAAGTCACCCCTGTTGCCTCTTGGTACCATTTCACTGCTGGGACTCGAGCGCCTTCTGGCACATGGAAGTCTTGTAAATAGCCAGACGACAAGATGCAGGAATGAAAAGCTCTTATTTATGGTAGCTCAAAAAAACCGTGTTGGGAACAAAATGCCACATTGAAGACCTTTGTAAGATACCCTACCTATGGATGGGGAGGGCAGAGTTGTCCTCTTTTTTTTTATTTTAATAAAATGATACAAGACATTATGCACAGTTTGACTTTGTATAGAGTTTGATTAATAAAACCCTAAAAACTAAGTTTCACACACCACTGCTGTCTGGAGAGGGGTTTCCTGCTCAGCACCCAGCCTCTCCCAGCAGCAGGGGCAGAGGAGAGCAGCTCTCCCAGCTCAGAAATCAGCTTTGTTCTGCGTTACCCCCAGCTTGGAAGCCTCTGTGGGAAGGAAAGAGTTGGTTCTGAGTGGTGGGCTCACGGAGGCTCTGGGCTGCAGGATCAACACCCTCCTCCTGCCCAGCCGGAAAGGTGTACCCTGAGCCAGATGAAGCACCAGGCTACAGCAGAGAGGGGTAATGGAAGTACTTTAGGGGAAGGGGCTCGTTTTCCATGTGCATTAGGTCTGTCTGGCCTTTGAAAAGGCAAATTGAGCACTGCAGCAGCTGAAGAGAAGGAAGCACAAGGCAAGGGAAAACTTCCCCAGCCACAACTACGCGCCTCCCTCCAGCAATACAGGCACCAGCAGCTTAAAATGGAAAGGGGGTTCCTGGAACCGGTGCCCGGGGAGAGGAAGTGTCAAAAGCCCCTAACGCCAGGGAGGGAGGAAGGAGAGGGGCAGCCACAGCCAGGTTTCACACAGCACCACTTTGTGAAAGACCTGGTTCCTCTTCAGCAGCAGCATGACAGCAGCACAGCTACGGGCGAAGGGAAGGATGAACGATTGTCCCTGGCCAAGCACAGCAACTGAGAGCAGGAGAAAGCTGTTCCAAGGCATTTTCCTCATTTTTCCTGGCACTTGGCATCACTGTGCCTAAACACAAGCCCTGCTCCTCACCGCACGCCTGCCGCCCAGCAGGGATCAATATGGCTCCCTCTGCAGAGGAGCATCTCTTATTCAGAGCGAGATCAATGCCCTGTAGAGAATAAGAGCAAGAATTATTTACTGTTGCTTCCGGCAAGCACCATTTCAGGATGTAGGCACCAGGGGGTGGCTGCAGGGAGCGAGCAGGCTTGCACCTACCCGCAGCTCGCAACACAGTGAGAGGCCTTGTGCTGCGGCATCTTCTCGCCTGCCGAAAGCAGCCCCGAGAGCAGCAGGAGCTGGGAAGTCTGAGCCTGTTCTCTAGCAGGAAATGCTCTGCACCACTCATTTCAACCCTGGCAGGCAGAGATCCAAGGGATCTCAGAAAGGAGATGCTGCTCGTACAACTGAAGTGAATCAGACCAGAGCACAGGACTGGTTTCCAGAATTTGGCTTTACTTCGCAGTACAGAAATCATTTGGAGCCTTCAGGAGACACGAGAAGCACAGGCTCTGTCATATCGATACCGCAGTGCCGTTTGGTCCATCCGAGAAGCCACCAGGGTACAGAAAATACTTCCACATCTTGCCTGCTCTGTAATTTGTTCTCTCAATTTTATTAAGATTAAAACACAAAAGAGCCTTAGGCACAGCTGTGTCCCAACCGATGTAAACAGTTTTAGAAGCTTAAGTGGAGGTTAAGTTCTGTGCCCAGAACTAAGCCAACATTTGCTGCTACAATAGATGTGGGCTTTGTCCATAATACAACTTGCCACAGAGTTAGATTGATGGGAAGAGACTTTAGGGATGCTGTCCACAATAATGGAGTGCTCAGTTTCTATTTTCCTTGATATCAGCTTTGAGTGACAACTGTCACCTCTACTACCTCACCAGAAGCACATAATTGTGAAGGATGTTTACAAATGATTAAAAATACAAGGTAAGACACAGCTGTCAATGAGTTATTTCAAATCGGCACCAACATCTACGTCTGCAAAAAAAAAAAAAAAAGAAAGGTTCAGTCTGCCTTTCGCTTACAAGGTTAGTCATTAAATCAGTCAGTAATTTGCCAGATTCTGGACAGCAGCCCTACTAGAATGAAATAATTAACACATGATATCCAAAAGGGGAACATTACCAGTGCAGTACTCTTCAATCTCTCAGAGATGGGATTACAAAAGCAGGCCTTACAATATTGAATTTCATACAGTGTTCATTAAGTTCCTTATATATTCATATTAGCCGATTTAAATTTCTCCTAATTAGAGATTCTCATTACTGCTGCTCCTCCTCCCCATAGATATCATTTTTCTTGCGTTTCATCTCTTCGAAGTCAAACTCTGATCCCATCATCCTCTTATAAATATCTTTGATGTCATCGCACGTCGTCTCAAAGTGAGTGGTGGCGTCATAGGTGCGAGAAATGAAGATCTGGAAAGAGAAGCAGCAGTTCAGCATTGAGCCTCTCTCCTCACCCCCTCAAACACGAGTTCGGTGCTTACTGACCTGGCTTTCGGTCCCCAAGTCAGTCGGTGCAAACAGGTCGCTGATGCTAACGAACCTGGAAGGAGGAAAAAGAAATTGAAAAAAAAGTGCTTTAAAACCAGCCTGAAGCTTCGCTGAGCATCAGTATGGGTGCAAGAACAGCTGAATTAAAGGGCATTTCCCTGCCCAGCACGTAAGCACTGAAGGTACAAAGGAAATTCAGAATTTCAACACCTCTTTGCAGCCAAACAGCCCTCAGATCCTCTCTGCCTTCATGCCTCGGGCCCAGGCACTCTCAGCAGAGCGGTGAGAAGGGGAAGAGGGGACTCGTCAAGGGCTTACTTCTGCTCAATGGGCTCCAAGAGGTCCAAGGCCGGCTTGATTTCCTTCTCTGGGTCGGCGGTTTCCACAGTAGTGCTGGCAATGGCGATGTACTTCCCCTGCGCTGCCACGTTGTGTGCAGAGGAGATCATGCAGACGTAGATATCTGGGGAAATGCATCACGGCGGCAGGTCAGTACACGTCAGGCAAGCCAACAGCCCAGCTCGGGCCTGCCTCATCCCAAAAGCCTCCTCTAGCTTGCACACTCGTGCGACTCTTCCTGCTCCCCTGACACTTTGTGCCTCCTTGTCCTGGTTAAGGCCGCGCTTGAATGAGTTCTGTCCTTGCCCTGCAGTCCTATGTGCCCTCGGTCTCTTCTTGGCTGAGCAGCCTGGACACAAGCAGCCCTGTGAGCTCTCCAAAATTCACTTTCCTGTGCTATGACAGCTCCCGAAAGCCAGCAGGGTCCCCAGCAGCCAGCCTACCCCTCTGTTCAAGGGCGAAGAAGCATTCCCCCTCCTGCACACAGCCCTTGCCCCCCTCCCACAGGCAGCTTCTCCCACCTGCCCCAGCACTGCTCTAAACTAAAGCACGGCCTCACTGGGGCCTAAGGGATTTCTGGACAGGGCACGAATTCCGCCACATGATCAGCAGTTAAGTGCGTTTTCCTGTTCGATTCGCCTCTCACTGGACTACTGGAGCACACATTTGATGCGAGGCCATTTAATGGCCAGCCTCAACCGAAGTGCGATGGGACCTGCGCGCGCCTCAGCAGCCCCCGCTCTCCACACACCTGATTTTCGGTTGACCTGATTCTGTGGAATGATGATCTGGCACGAGTTGGCATCGTTTGTATTCTTGATGGGGTGGCTCAAGATGCAGATTACCCGAATCACTTGGCCGACCTTCGTTACGCGGTCCGAGACGTAGCTGGGGTCACAGATGAGCTGTTTGCAGCGAGCAACCTGCAGAGACAAGACGGACCTCGGGTGACCACTGCGCGGAGGTGCGTACACAGCCAGAGGTGAGGAACCAGCCGA